GAGTAGGCCACTCTGCGATTTTCCAATTAAAATGGTAAATTTCATGCGGATGAATTAATGAACTTTGATGCACATTTTTTCATATTGCTACGGAATGACTATGAAAGATATAATAGAAAGCTCCTAAGTAGATTATCGTAAACCACAAATTTGAGATTTAAAACTTTGTTTTTTGTTTTTAAATTAACTTGATATTAAATTGTGTTTTTAAAGTAACATTAGAAAGAAGAACTGTAGGTTTTTGTATCTGTAGTCATGTTTGATGCATATTATTAATCGAAACGTTTTAAGTTTTGTTTTGCAAAATTTGCGTTTAAAACATACGATAGTTTACGTAGGAGCCACCAATTATGGTTTATTTTAATCTGTGGTTTACGTTAGTAAATATTATACTGCATACATTTATTCACGGCGTTAATAAATGTGCGCTATCTCAAATATATTTAGATCTATTTGATAAAAATTCCCGCAACTTATGAACGAACGGGCGTATAAATATAGGGTTGAAATAAGTACTTATCTGTAGAGATTCTTAGCACGTCGCCCATATACTTTTCTAAATCTTGCTACGAGCGAAGGAATATGAACGCAATTTTCAAAGAAATAAATAAAGTACAGTACTTACACCTATCTTTATCACACTACTCTAAACTAACAACTTGCGATATTAAAGTTTGAGATTAAATATTATGCAGCGCCTTATATTTTATAATATTAAATATTCATTACATTGCTCAAGTGAAAATGAGATATTTTAAAAACATGGATACTGAAATAAAGTTATAGTTCATGATACCTTACACCAATAGAAGCTTTTGTTCAGTTTAACTTCCGCTCTTTATTTTAACTTACTCAAAGTCGAAAGTTTTCGTCGAAGCGAAAAGTTTCGAACGCGCTATGGTTACTTTAATGTTGGTAATTTAATAAACAGAATATTATTATAATCTTATTTTCTTTTTGTTTCTAATGTCCTGTAATGGTTCTAATTAAATAAATTTTTAAGCCTGTATTAATAACTATCTTTTGTTCACAGTTACCAAAATGTTTGAGAATAGATTTCACATAATTTCGATACTATACCCATTTAGTTATTTATCGTATAATTCTGTTGTAAACAGATCAAATAAGCGTATAACATAAATCGATTTCGTTGGCAAATGGTGCGAAAAGTGGCGTGGAAATATTAATGGTTGGCGAAGTGCTAAAGGTAGTTACGGTTTACGAGCTTTTTTGCAAGAGGCACTGCCAATACTGCAAGTGCCATTAAATTCTACGGCTATTGCAAAGTGAAATAATTGTAAGCCATCGACAGGAATTATATTAACTGATATCGTATAACATAGTATTCATTAGCATAAAATTATTTTATAATTAAACATTCTTTCTTTTTAAATAAAACGAAAAACAGAAATCAAATTCAACATTTCCATGGTTCGATCCTTCGATTCGATTCCCTTTAATCATTGATTATAAATTCAATTGATACGTGTGAATATGCTACATAGGAATCTTAACATATCACCTCATTAAAATCTGTTCTGAGAAACTTATTCACACGTCATCTCTTTGAAGTTTAGTTAAATCTGAAATACATGTAAACCTAGATAATGAGCCATATGCTCGTTAGAACGCTTTTAGAATATACAACATCACAAATCTGTTTAATTTTGGTAAATTTAATTCTAATTCATGTTTACATAAGATATGTCTGCTATTAAATTATTATTCCGTTTAAATACAAGACAAAACGCTTTTCAGATGAATCACACGATGTTTACACATTAATTTAACAATGTTTGGATCTTCACGATTATATGAAATTAAATTACGTGTATTTCTTTCTGCAATTTTTGATTTATTATCTGTACAAGCTTATGCTCGCGACGTTGTCCTCGTGAAATTAAAAAGAATTAAGTAAGTTGTATGTGTTCTTCCAGAATATGTTCTACATATGTGACAAATGTTACCGTTTTGAACATAAATAGTAACTTATATCCACCCATTTTCACAGTAATAATAAGTAAATAAGTATTGTTAAAAAACTTGTATTCTATGCGGATGCATAGAATACAAGTTTAGTCTTTTAGGATTAAAAAAATCTTTATTAGCTATTAATTGATAAATATTTTCTCTCTATGTATCTAAACCAATGAAGTTGAGGCTGTTGACTTGTCTAATAATATTCTATTCTAAAGTTGTCGTAAATATATAAAAGCTTACGCATAGAATAGAGACATCTAATAAATAAAAGTACACAGCTTTTAATTAATTATTCTCTTGTTATTAATCAGAGAGCAACTTTCATTACTTGCTCAAAAGGAAACTCTCCCTTTAATTAAATTGTCAATAATCAGTCATGCTTTGTACTCTACCATAGAGACGGCCATGTTAGAAAATAAGATTTGCTCAAGTTAAGAAGCCCGTAGTTTCGTTAAATATTCAATAACTTCGCTTTTACTTCAAAATTTAAATAACAAGTCCTTTGCTTTGTTCTCGTGAATGCTTGATATTAAAATATGTCGTCGAGGATGGAAATAGTTTAAATAAAAATTTAAAGCATAAGTAAAAAAAAATATTGTATTTTAGTATCAATAAACGATAATGTCAAAGAGGAACGTTACAGCAAATTATGATACTTTTCTAAGGAAACAATAATCCACACAGAACTAATAGTTAACTGTAAAACAAGACAGTTTAAAAATAATAAAAATAATGTTTTACGATTTTTTTCTTTATTCTTCGGTATTTTAACATCATTAGACCGTTTAGTGGACAGGCTCTACACACGAATCTTGGAATCGAAATAATGACTAAAGAGAATTTCTCTAAAATACTTTCTTTGACAACCGAAATTAACGACACAAAACATTCAAAATGATTACTGGAATGTGTGGATGTGAGGATACACTTATAACTATCAGTGAATTTTTATAAAGTCTAGACGACGTTACCCTTTTGATATAAAACGTGAATAAATTGTCACTATTGTCTACAAATATAAAATATTCAGTTGAAATACTTTTGGACTTTGTAAATTGGTTTCGTTTTACCGTTTATCCTTTGTAAACGGATCGCTACGTGGCGTCTTGTTAGCGGTTGAAATATGCTACGTTACCTTTACCGCGACTGTCTGACTGTGGAATATGAGAGTATTAAAGGAATCGAATATAAAATTATTGGTTGTTTTTGCCTTATTTGTTTGAGTTGTATATCGTATGTCCATGACCTAACTAAAGACAAGTGATTTTGCACAACATATGGACAACGCGATTATAGAATTCATTTTATACATCTAACTAGTGAATTAATGTAATTACAAATTCAAATAGGTGACATATAATAATAAATAGTTACAGATATTACAATAATATAATAATAATTACAGATATTTTAAATATAAAACGAGAGCTGAGACGCCCTTTAAAAGCAAAGCAACTTAATTTATTTATTGTTTCTGCTTATATTTTTAATTAAGGCGTCCGTGGGTGATCAAAATTTTATCTTAGATATAATTAAATTTGATTAAAAGGGCGTCGAAATAATTACACCTTACCTTGAAAATGATGAGGCAGGAAAGGGAATGTCGGAAAAGATTTATATTAATTTATTTTTATAAAATATACGACTCTGCGCGTGTTGAATTAAAAAAAAAACAAAAATGAGTAACCTATGTGTTCTTTCAGACTATCACCAGCATCTATACCAAATTTCATAGAAATCCAGCCCTTTAGGCTACAAACTCTAACAAACATCCATCCCTCCATCCATCCATCCATCCATCTAAACTTTCGCATTTAAAATATTAGTATGAAGTATAAAGTAGGATAAAGGACATGAAGATTAATTAATTGATTATCTTAAATACAAAACATTTTATTCGCTTTACGTTTCAAGTTACTGGCACTTATTTACTGATGCAGAAACCTGATCTATTCATAGAAGAATAAAAAGTAAAATATCTCTTAGAGAAGGAGCTTTAAATGTCAATTGAATTAATTGCAATCTGTGAGTGGTTTATCTGCAATTCAAAGTGGCGCACGAGGCGACGCGACGCCAAAAGGCGAGCGCGGTTTAATACGATTTGCATGTCTCACTTGTCACTTAGGTTTATTATTTAATGTAACATTTAGTTTATAAACAGTACAGTACAAAACTCATTTTTAAAAATATCTTTAACTAGCTGTTCCCGTGCGACTTCGACGCATAAAATTGTGAAAATTTTACTTTATTGTTTACATGTGTCAAATTATCAATTGAAAATGTCAAAATGACATGACGATGGAACCTTGCTTCCTTGATGTTGGCAGCAACTTATGGTCTCTTTCCCACATTAAGGTTTTTATCCAAAATACGTATCCCCTAAGTTTAATGGCGTGAAAATATGTAGCCTAAAGCGTAAGTGTAGGGCTTTTTATTAAAAAAAAGAATTATTCAAAAATATGGTGTAATTGCTGACAACTTAGGCAACAAGGAAGTGTGTGTTTACGGTTTATTATACTAGTATAGAAGTATAGATGATATATTTTCGTAACTATTTAGCTTGCACACTCGATACAAATATAGTATTATTAAAATTGAAACAACTGGATTAAAATTTTTGTATATCTGTCTCCAAGACTGTGTTTGTTTTGGGTTATCTCCGAAACGATTTAGTTATTAACTAATAGAGATTTTCTCAAAGTTAAATTAATGTGTAAAGCAAATACAAGCTCTATAGAGCACACTGGAATACATTTAATAAAACTTAGTTTATCCGCAACGGCTGCAGAATATTAATGGGCACTTTATATTGAACTAGTGTGCAAGCTTCAAGCGGTTAGAAAAATTGCAGTAAATAATATTATATTTTTATTACGATTCCAAATATTTATGTTGTGTATTTTATGACTAGTATATTATTACATCGCCTAAAATATTATTTAACAAGGATCTGAGCTTGATATCAAAATACATCTAAATGTAAAAGAGACCCATCCAATTCAGCAACACTGACAATCAGCGTATTGTCTCAATCATTTTGCGTTGGGGTCGACAAAGGTCACAGCTTAAAACATCGCCGGCTGTTAGTATAGATAGATTTAAATAACAAATTGGATCGCAATTTGAAAAGGAAACATTGTAATATAATATTCACTGTGTATGTAGATACTGTACCTTTTGATCCTAATTGAATATTTCCCGAAATTCAAACCCAGAATAGGGTACCCTCGACATTGAAACGACCGTATAGGTCTAATCAAATCATCACACTTCACGTTCCTTTCAGTTTGGATTGGATTATCCAATGGTTTTTAAACAAATCAATGAAATATTTTTTTTTATTACTGAGTTGTAGCATAACGTGCATTTATTGAAATAATTAAATTCATCGTCATAATAGACTACCAACATTGCAGCAAATAAATCGCAAGCAAAATGAAGACAAACGTTTTAACAATCAAGATTTGTCAACTCATCATTAATTTTATCCATGATCGTATAAGATCTGACTAATATATAACTTTAAATAGTCCTTTAGCAAACAAATCTATACTTAAGGGACTTCCACCGCCTTATTGCGGTCTTAAAGACTTCTTCGGTGTCAGTTATTGTTAATATTAGTTATCTCGTTAGGTTGACTAAAGGACTCCCCGACTACACGATTTAGAGAATGGCAGTTTGTGATCATTTGTCTTCTCTGATTAAGTCGGTAATAAAAGATAATTAATTAAGTGTGAGCATTTGTGAATGTTGTGTGATATGCATCTTGCCGTGCGCGGCGCTGTGCGCGCGGGCCTGCAGCTTGCAGCGCAGTAAGCGTAGCGTGCCCTCCCACAGCCGGCTCTGCTCCTCCACCTCCCCCTGCCGGGAACTGATCTCACGTTGCTCCTGAAATACAACCGTTAAATCTTTACCATCAAAAGACTATTGGACAATTTATATTGGGTATTTAAGTCTTTGTAAAGTTAATATTAAAAATATACTTCCTTAAATGATGATAAAAAGTTATTAAATAAAAATCGAAATTAAAATTCACTCTTAAAAGTGTTAACTCTTATAGCTACATCACTTACGTTTAAAAATGTAAATTACAAATTAACGAAAGCTACCTCTTCTAAATTTTTCACTATTTCCTCCAAATCTTTTACTCTCTTTTTCAACGTTTCCATTTTAGAGGGTTTACGCGGCGACTGCATTGCATTTTTCATTTCAAACATCACGTCCTCTTGTAAGCTTTCGGCTTTTGTTATTTTCTGCCGCAGATTTTTCCACTCGAGCTCCTTACTATTCAACTTGTCAGTCAGCTCTTTCACTTGACTCTTCAAAGGCTCCATCTGGGACGTAATGTTGATTGACGTCGCTTCGTATATTCTTTTCTTCTGTTCGTATTGCTGCTGTACCGTTTGATATTCATCTTTTATTGGTTTAATCTTTTCTGCAAGCGGTTGTATCTCTTGACGCATTTCTGACAACTTTTGAGCGGTTTGTGCTACGATCTAAAAAATAGAACTTTAATATTATTCAAATTAAGATTAATTTATTAAACATAGGGTACAAATATTGAAAATAAGTTCAATGTTAAAAAATTGTTGTATATACCTGTGATAAGTCATGTAACGATTTTTTTGCAATCTCTGAAGGTTTGTTCTTGTCTTTTTCTATCAAATCGTCTTCATCTATTTTCATTTTTTTGTGATTTACCAATGCCATTTCAATAGTTGGGTCTGCGGTGTTGAGTATATGTAACGTTCTTGATAGGATTCCAGCTTCCACCTTAAAGAGTTTTATAAATTTAATATAATACAGATTAAAATAAGAAGTGGTTAGAAAAACAAATTAATTATTAATTTCAACCTTAAATGTGGCCAAGTTAGCTCGCTGCCGCTTGTACAAAGAGCTCTTCGTCCGTAACGAACTCACGTATTTCTTTAATTCCTCTCCTCTCAATACCATATCTCCTAGAAGTTGCTTCACCTGCAAAGAAAAATAAGAAATTTATAGTACATGTTTACTTTGTTTTCATTTGGGAATACAATATCTTCTACCTACTATTATAAGATGCGGATGCTTAGTTAAATTTTGTAAAAGCATAAAAAACACAAACAAAATATTCCGAAGTTGGCATATAGCTTAAGAGATTGTAATCTCGTCTTAGAACTAAAGCCGATAAGAGACAAATCGATAAAAAACGACTAACAGAAAATAAATCACGAAACCTGACACGAATCAATGCGTTTATTTGATCATTCTGAAAATAAATAATGAAGGTATTATCGAAGCCGAATCTCCCGACGGTTCGACATAATGACCGATAACTGGAAATGGGAAAAATATCTTATTCCATCAACATCGCTCGATGGCGAAGATTCGCATTCTGTGGAGGCGTAGAAAAGCGTTTATCTTAATATATCATTGGTTATTCATAATGGAGTATTTGTGATCCGCAAATGAATAAAAGGTTCGATTTAATGATAGATTTTACCGTTGGATTTAATGGGCCTGACCGAGGTACGAAAATCCTCCCGTCTTATAAATAGATCCGTTTTAGTAGGAGCTGTTTAAATATTTTAAGCACTAATAAACGCTCAGTAAATGTAAGTGTGAAGATCCTTATTAAAACATACACAGTTATATCAAGGTAAATGACAACAGTTTACTAGTTGGCGCATACTGTTAACATTTTTATTAGTTGATAAGTCTACAAAATTAAATTACTTGCGACTGCAAATCGGCCAGCACCGCCTCGTGCTCCTTGAGAGTTGCAGTGAGGTCATTAACGCGGTCGGCGCTCGCCTCCTTGTTGCGCCTGATGACAGCTGCTTGCTGCCGGAACGGTGCCAGCTTGTCGTCTTGCGGACCCGCCGCGGCCAGCCGACGCTGCACCATCTGTTCCACTTCGCTGTTTACCGCTGATAGCTAAATAAAATGCAGATTTTTTATTCGTCTTTTTATAATGCTTTGGTGTGCATGTGTCCTTTTGTACCTTATCTTGCACACCAACGATGTCAGACCGCGTCGGATGTTGCTCCATAGCTACCGTTTGCATTATGTTAAGCTCTTTTTGCAGCTGAGCACTTTCCTGTGGCAACTTTTCTTTAACTAGATAACTATTCAGCTAAAAAAAGCAATAAATATAAGTTAATAGCCGATAAACCGTTTGTAAAGTTTATTTAATAAGGTTAAAATGTTTTAATACCTGTATTTCTTCTTGCAAACGTTTGATCACGTCATTAACAGATTTTGGAGTTGCACTTTGTCCATGAATTACGTTCAAATATCTCTTCAACTGATCCGATGATAGTTTTAGTTGCGACTGTTGCATTTCATACTAAAGATAATTTGGAAAGTAAATATTTTTATTAAAATAAATCACGTAAAACAAAGGCACTTGGTGGTTTTGATACCTTTTAGGAACGTAATGTTTAGGTTATGTTACCTGATTTTCTAATTCCTTCGCTCTCTCTTGTTGTAACCTCAAAGCTTTACTATAGCTTAACAATTCCTCCTTATTATTTACATCTACCAGGTGAACTTGGACGTTTTCTAACCGTTTAATCACTAAAATAAAACGAATTAACAATATTAAATACGTGATAAACAACAATTCGATTGATATTTAAATTCCAAGTATTTATAAAATGTCATACCTATATCCCGTTCTACTGCCATTTCCTTAATATCATTGATAATCTCGGTAGCATTTTCCTTTTCCAAAAGTCTTGTTCTTTTATGAACTTCTTTGAATTCGTCCATCAAATTCTGATACAAGTCCAAAAGATCTTGTATAGTGTTGTTCTGGATTACATCGGGAGGAATGTCAGGTACCTTTAAATATCTGGCAAATGAAATAAGATTATTACGTTTCTGTTTTATCTACAACCTTATGTAAAATACTCAATAACTACTGAACTGATTTCAGGAAATTATTATTGCTAATTTGCGTATGGCGCTAATTTACATATGTTTTGTTATAAACATTTCATACTTAGCAAGATAAGCGGTCTTCTTAACTTGTTCCTTGTTAGTGAGTAGCCAATGCATGACATGGTGGATTGTCCTAGGATCGCCGGCGAGCAACTGCACTCTAAACTGTGAGGAATCCACAGTCGCCGGCGGACGATACTTCACACTGCCCAACATCTCCAATAGACGTACCGATATCATCTCCGTTTCATCTTCGCGAACGTCCAACTAATTTTCCGAATATGCATATAATATATTATGTAATATAAGTAAACGATACATAAACTACCGAATGAAAGTACCGGGAAAGGTTGGCCAAAAAGGTTTTACTATCCATTTTACGACCACTTTCTGTTAGTGCTAACGAGCAAGGGGATTATCTGATTTTGTGTAAACGCTGTCAATAGTACGGAAAGGAAATGACAATAATAAGCACTCGTACGAAATAATAAGGCTCGTAACACCTGGATGAAAGTAGAGATCTTTTCTGCTATTATTCGGCTTCTGCTGTTAGCATCGATTGCTTACATATGTCACTGTACCGGCACAAATTGGAATAATAGGTATATGAATACTTACTTTGTCACCAGCTTTGAAATTAACCAACAAATCGACCAGCAGCTGCAGGAGTTGCTTTTCATCCAAAGAATCGAATTTGATCAAATCATAGTTTCTACCTAAAGTAGAATTAATTTCCTTCACAATAAACTTCATCTGCTCGGTCATTTTGATTGTTAACGTTAAGATCACTTAGGTAATTAATAAATTAAATTAAAAGAAATGATTTATAATTATCACAAGTTTGTTAATATGTTTATATTTGCTGTTTCTATGGTAACGTCTGACAAATTATGAATTTTGGTATTACTGACCTCTATTGTTATAAAAATAGAATCGAACAGTAATTTCTAAACAGCGCCATCTATTGATTAAACGAGTTAAGTTTACTGTATAGTTAAACAAGGATGTTGAGCCCGGTGCAAGTGCTGCTATTTGATTCTGTCAGAAATAAACTTTTATAAAGAAAGCTCCAGTGAGCTATCATACTGTTGCATATATGCCCACTGTTGATTACTCTAACACCATTACTATTCTTGTGTTTTTTCTTGATGTCGACGCATTTGATGGCAAAATTGTTCTTAAAGTGCATACAACTAGGCAACGCATTTGCAATGTCTATTATCAGAAGTCGCTTTAGTATTTTAAAGAATCCGTGCAACTTGTTACATTTAAAAGAAAACAACCAGGTAATTTTCAGAATAAATTATATTTCTATTATAATTATAATACAATCGGAGCTACTTGTATAATATTGTTTGATTCGTCAAATCTCAATCTTCCCTTACAATGTACAATTTGTGCTTCTTAGCAAATATTTTAGCTTCGATGACGATCGTATCAATTCCACACAAATATCCTCTTCACAGCTCACAGCCTTTTCCTCAATAACAATCGAATATTAATCATTTTCAATTACGATAACGATACCGATTGTAGCCACAACGAAAATGTATGATAAACACAATGCACCTATACAATAAATCTACCAGCGACTATGTATATTCAGTTTTCAAACTAGCTATCTTTCACAAAATGGCTGCAACGAACACAATGGCTTAAATTATTAAAAAAATAATTAAAAAAACAAATAGTGACGTATATTATTTATCTATTTAAAATAGAATAATAAACCATAAAAATTGCACCTAAGTACTACTTAAATTTTTTTTATTATCTCAAAAAAAACTGAAAAATGTTTTGTATGTCTGTTTAAAACCATTTTATGAAACAGTCTGTAAACTGAATTAACTGCATTAAGTAAAAGTGCGACTTCCTGCTAATCGCTGTGTTGGCATAGTAACTATCTAGCACCAACGGGGCGGAGGCGGAGGGGTTGTATGCAAAAACCTCTAAACGTGACATTTGTGGTCGAAACATTTCTTTGGTAATACTACGATATAAATCTTGTTTTTCTTATTTTTTTCAAATAACGTTAGTTTAAACTAAGGGATGTTCAATGATTATTTAAAAACGTTACCTCCCGCTATATTTTACAAAAAAATATACAAGAAGACATTCTTTAAAAAAATTATAATACATATTTTGTATCTGTAACAGTAGGAAATAACACGTTTAATTACGAGAAAACAAAACCGTCTATTTAACTATAAAGTGATTATAATTAAAAAATCTTTTGGTGCCATAATCTATTTTCAGTGTTATAAATAAACATTTTAATAAAAACAGGTGAAAACATCGATCATCCCTTAATCGATTATACCACTTGTTTGAACTGTCACTTCCTCTCCCCCATTTAATAATTTAATTAATGTAATAAAACAATTTGACAACACGGACAGGAGACAGCTGTTACAATATCCTACATTTAGTAACCAACACTATTATCCTACTTAGTCTATGGCATGCACCATTACGCCTTTAAAACCCTGAATCTTTAAATTCTACAAAAAGAAAGAAAAGATCAACCTGGATTTACGGTACATAAATTGGACGAACACAAAATTAGCCTGCCTTTTAAAATTATTGATAATTCTCGACGATATTACCGATATTTAATTAAAAACATAAATAATTTGTACTCTTCTAAATTAATGATTATAATTATTTACAAGTTTTCGTGACTAATTTTTAGGATTAGAAAAATGATTTTTTTTTTCAATGGATATTTTAAAGCCAAAAATATTACTCGCCAATGCGACTGTCAACCTAATGCACCTAAAGCGCACTACAGACGTTCTTCTTTCAGTTGACCTGTACAGTTACAACTGTGCGTGTAGCCAAAATTTTAACTATCAGTTGAAGTTTTGCCTCCATACGCAGTTATAACTGAAAAGCTGAACTGTCAGAACTGAGCACGTGTAGCGTTACTAATATTAACTAATATACAATCAATTGATAACAATATTAAAACACTTCGATACACAAAATTATATACAAATTAAGTATCTAAAGGTAAAGAATACTGGGTTATCTGTGATGTATAGTATTAAAGAAAATAATATCAAATCAATAAAAACCTCGCATGCTTGGTCCTCGTAATGTATCTCTCTTCGTTTTTGAGCGATCTTTAAATAAAATACTGCGTTTCTTAAAGGAATGTAAGAGAGAAAGAAAATGCCATTACATGAGTAGAAGCGATGCTAAACACGTCCGGTATAGATAGTTCAACTCATATTGGCCCCTGACAATTTTTGTATCAGTACAATTAAATGTTAACCATACTGTTACATGCTTTTGATTTAGTATTTTCCGCTACACCTAACGCAAAATTTAAACAAACCTGTTTTTTTCATTCTTAATAAGATTCAGAAACCTAAAAAAATTAAAAAAACTGGCTTTTCTCTTGCCAAACTAAAGTAAGGCCCCAAGCATCATAATAACTTGAACTATCTATACTAATATTTCTTTTAATCAGTCGTTATAAATGCACGAACGCGCTCATTTATGAAAAATTAACTACAAAATAAAACAATGTCAAAAAATTAACATAATAGGACGATACAATTAAACAAAATTCAAAAGGTAAAAAAATCTCATCTATAGGATGAATATTTGGACGACTACTTACAAACTAATGATAGGTACCTCACACTGATCTCTGACAAATCACATCTAAAGCTAAATCACAAGTGATAATTAACAGCGACTACCCGCACCTTTCTTAAGTTTTTAGTGACAGAAGAAAAAAAGTAAACAAAATTCTCATTACAAAGGCCATTTATGTTAGTGTTACAGTAAATGCAATACCAAATTGACTTTAAAAATTATCTTTGTAATGTATTATCTCAACTAACAATAATTTATTATTATAATCAATTTGTTTCAACAACAAAAAAACATAGTAATGTAATTTATGTTAGGGTCGAGTAGTGCCAAACGTATAAGTCTCGATGCAACGAAAATCATTTATTTACAATAGTCCACCCTTCCTGCCGAACAGAAGGGAGCTGAGCGTGCCCAAAG